AAGATCCTGATATTTTCTACACTAACCGATCAGGTACTAGGGACAAAGAGTACCTCTCGCTTGGTGTGGATAACTTGCCTCTCTTTGGAGGTCGAACTGCTGTCCAGGTATGACTTTTGATAGCTCGGATTTGTAATAGTAATATCAACTCTTCAGCATTATACATTTTTCAAATAAATAGATGCATTTGTGTAGATGTATAGTGATTACATGAAGAGTTTTAGAGCAAATATGTCAGACATTTTGAAAGCGGGAAGCCGGGAACCGTTGTTGACATTGAGGTAGGACTAGGCCCTGCAGGAGAGCTCAGATATCCATCATATCCTGAAACTCAAGGATGGGTTTTCCCTGGCATTGGAGAATTTCAGGTGAGATAAAGAATAGTTTGTTCGACTATAGTTGTCCATCGTATCATACTATACAGTTATCACCATGGACCTCAAATGGACAATTTTTTTTTATTATTAATTTTTTTTTTTTTTTTTTTTTTAAGTTATACTTAAGCCCCCTACTATAAAGAGGCAAGTTTTCTGGTTAAGTCGTGTGTAAGAGGGACCTGCCGAAGATTTCAGATGGACGTGAACAACTATAAATATGTTTATGTGTTTTGCTAGTTTTGGAATTTATTGTTTCTCTTGTAATTAGGGATGCAATTTGTAGATTGTACAATTTATTGTTCAGATTGATAGGCCTCCACCCTTGTTTCAGGTTTAAGTAAATCAACCGAGTCCCATGCATTCTAACAGAAGAATCATGCTATGATTGCAGTGCTATGACAATTATTTGAGACTAGATTTTAAGGTGGCTGCAACCAAGGCAGGACACCCAGAATGGGACCTCCCAGATGATGCAGGAACATACAATGACAACCCCGAGAAAACAGGATTTTTCAAATCAAATGGGACTTACCAGACAGAAAAGGGAAAGTTTTTCTTAACATGGTACTCTAACAAGCTAATATACCACGGGGATCAGATACTTGAGGAAGCCAACAAAGTCTTCTTGGGATGCAAAGTCAAAATCGCTGCTAAGGTACGTGTTATTCGCATAAGCTTAATATGTATGTACGTGAAATTACTTATAATATCCGAAATATAAAGTTCGACTTGAGTCACAACTACCGTAAGAAAAAGGTGATATTCCACGACGGTCTTTATGAATGTCATGGTAATCTTTAATGACAGCCTGATACAAGGCTGTACTTTATTTGTCATGGATGGACATCTAGTCTAATTTTGCGCTGTGTTTCACAGCACACTAATTTTCCTGTACAAACAGGTTTCTGAAATTCACTGGTGGTACAAGGATGAGAGTCATGCTTCTGAGCTAACATCAGGATATTATAACCTGGTTGGAAGGGACGGATACCGGCCAATAGCAAGGATGTTGGCCAGACATTATGGAACCTTAAATTTCAAGTGTCTTGAAATGAGAGACAGTGTCTGTATAAAAGGGCAGGATCCTCAACACCATTATGAGCACCCAATCATAGGATAGGAGTCACCTCATCGTGTATTTTAGCCTCATCTCTATGTATATTCAACTACTATGTGATTGTTCCTCGTTTTAATTGGTGATTTTCCATGAATTATACAAAATATTTTTTATTATTATTATTATTTTTTTTTTATATATACTTGCATAAGCTGAATATCAGAATAAACCATGAATTACACAAAATCATGCACATATATATACCCATGTCATTTATTTATTTATTTATTTATTTATTTATTTATTTATTATTATTATTATTATTATTATTATTATTATTATTATTATTATTATTTTAACACTGGCATAAGCTGAATATCAGAATAATCAATACATGATTAATTTACTTGGGAGAAAAATGTGAGACAATAGCATCCTACCGTTCCAACAAGTCACAAGAGAGGTTTATAAGTATTTGCTGTTAACTCTAATTTACATAAAGCATTCTTGACCTCCAACGGATACATAGACAATTTTAGTATATTAATTTACTAAACGGTCAAAATTCATTGAAATTTCAATGAATCCACAAGTATTATTCATTTATCCACTACTCGTCTCGATCATTTTAAAGATTTCATTTCGATCTATTTAAAGATTAAACCATTTATAAATTCTTTCCTAATGGAGGCTTAAAAATATATCATTTACTAAAACTCGTTTTATTCGGCCTAAAACCCGTCTCCACCCACGGCATTATGTTATATGGTTAATAATGTAAATGACATTCTTTTTAATGGAAGATCGAAGTAGATTATCCACATTGATCTACCATAATATCATCTACTGATTATTTAGTTCTATCAGTTAGGTCTAGTCCCATCTGCCAAACATAACCTAAACAGTTAATAAATTATAAGCTAACTTTTGTTATCTTAACTGCTGTTGCATGGGATACAGGTGTGATTTGGGAGTTCGATTTTGAAGTAATTTTCCAGTTCAGGCCATTGGTTTCGATCCTTACATTGTGGAAATATGCCATAATTTTTGGATCATCTGAAAGTGTGGTGCTGGTGCTTCAACTTCTCTTGAAAAGAGAGAAAAAGTTTAATCCATCTCTAAATAAAATATGCAAAAACGTATAAAACAGCCGAATTCAAACCCAAATAAAAAAATATAAAACTAACTCCAAGTTGATAGAGTACATATAAACTAGTACACGTAAAACGATTGGAATTTGCTAAGAAGCCTTCATTTCTTCGTAAAAGGCATTTTCGACCAACACAGGAAACAAAAAGGAACACTGCACTATTACCCAAACAATGAATTACAGATTGTAAGAAAAGAATGAAAAGGAAAAAGAAAAGAAAATATATCTGTACACAAGAATTAAGAGTGGAAGTAGCATAAGCAAAAATAATCACCAATTCTGAGATGGGGCAGCTGCAACTAAAACCGAACCATCTGAAAATAAGTGTACCTAGGCAGATAAACAACAAATCCTAATGCCACTTCCATGATATGCCCGCAAAAATTTCACCAATCCCACATGGCCTGGAATTAGAATATTGGATGTCTGAGCTTTAACCAATGTATCATCTCCTTGTCAACTGGAGCCTCCTGTAAAATGGAGTCTAACATAGGACTGCCAACAACTCTAGGAGAATTCTTGAATGACCAAATCCGATCCTTTGGCCATGGTCTCTGAGGTTGTTTCTCCTGGAGATGAAGAAAACGTGATTCAATCAAGAGCTCATAAATAAATTGTGAAATGTTCAAAGACAAACAAAAACTCAATACCATATCCATGCATTGAATTAACAAATGAAAGGATAGATAGAGTGGGGGTGCTCCCTCTGTTTTTTCCCCCCTTTTTTTGTTCTTCGAAGTTTGGGGAAAAAGTGGAGGCCAAACATGAGGGGAGGTGAATTTAACTGGACAAAGCTTACCATTCTAGCAAGCATAAACTTCAGTGTCCTTGGGCCATAAACACGTTGGTGTGACGGCTTCTGAAGTTTGGCATAAAAGGAACCAACATCCGGTAAAGATAAGCAACCCCTGCTAGCTTGAGCTAGGCTAGAATCCGGATCAGCATTAGCTTGATTGTGCCAAAATATCAGCTGACCTAAACAATAAGTCTCATTGTATGTTTTACAATATTCGTGAATGCCGGACCCCAATTTATCAGCATACTTGGGACCAAGGTCAAGTGGACTGATGTAAACAGGTGGGGAAGTTATAGTCTTATATTCCTGCAAGATGACTTGAATTAGATCTAGAAAAAATCAGAAAGCCTCAAGAGGCAAGAGCTTTTCGTATAATTTCGGCAGAATACAAATACTCACTCTTATTCTGAAAAAATATTTTGTGTAAGCATATATATGAATCAAGTCAGCAGCAGCATCATGCCGACATTTGTACGTACAAGGAAGACCGCGGACCTCATCTCTCAACCTGAACCAGGGAGGTTAAATCAGTCGTGAAGAAAATGTTTCAAGATCAAAGACACTGGACGTCATAAAATAGTTCGTGTAGTTTACCATAGCAAAGACTTCCGAAGCTCAGTCTCTACATCACCAGAGCCAGAAGGATCATGGGCACGAATATTGGCCTTGAGGTCTCTCAAGGCACCATCTTCTATATGAGGAGCCATGCATTGGATGAGTTCCTCCACAACAGATGATTCTCCTTTCCAAACGTATGAAACTGCTGCTTCAGGGCTAAGCCTCTCCAGTGGAGGGGGGGCATTCTTTGGGTCACCAAAAACACATCTCATGACATACCTCACCTGTTTGTTCACAGAAAATACAAAATAATTTCAACTTCTTACTCCATTACCTGACTTTCTTCTAGATATTGATAGTTTCTTATTTAGGGGTTAGGGAATTTGCTTTAACAAATAAGCAAACCACCCACCTTGTCTAGAGTAAGAGCCAAATTTTGAAGCCTTTGGTTGTAGACACCCTCGGCCTGTGGCAACCAAAATTATTAACAATACCAATATTAGTAACTAACTCCCAGAATATCTTAATGCACAGGGTAACCCCGCACGCTAGACAGAGCATTTACCTGAACCTCAGCATCACCTCTCTCAATCTCCAGGCTTACATCTGCAAAGTATTTCTTCTTTTCTTCAACATTATGCCTCAAAATCACGTCAGGAAGTTTTGTCCTCTCAAAATTGATAAACCTCACCTANAAAAAAAATAGGTGAAATAAAATTCATGAATGCATTAAATTATCTGAGTCCCAACCCCCAGCCCTGAACTTATGATATTCCAAATGGCAAAACTGGGAACTTCCTCAGTTTGTTAACTTTCTGAAACCCAAAATCTTCTCCTCTCATGCTTCTTATTTAAACAGCTGCAAAGGTTTAAGCAATCCTCTAACTAACAGAAAAATATGCAATTTCTATACCTTTTGGAAAGCCCCTTCCCCAGTTAAATTCAGATAACTCCCACGGCAAACCTGGCTGCCACATAAGCAAACAGAAGCTTCGTACTCTTCCTTACTCTACAACAATGGCATTAAAAATCAATCAGTACAACAGTACACTAACCGCTAAGCTGTCAAGCTTCAGAAAAGCTTCACATGATGTCAACATTTACCTCTGTAACAGAATTGTAGTCAAAGGAGATCTCTTCACCATATGCAATGGGTCTAACCGAGTAGATCCCAATCAGGTATTGACCGTCAACAGCAGTAACCCTATTATCATGAAAAGGGATGATAGCTTGGTTAATAATGCGACAGATCTTCATATGATAGAATTACTTCTTATCATGAAAAGTAAACAAAAAATGATCTTATGGTCAGAGAAAATTAACTTCTTATGACATTCACACAAGATTTCAAGATTAAAACATTTTTTACCAAATTATATGAGAGAAAACAATAAAATGGTGATGCAACCTAAATCCTTGATGGCCAATCAGCTGTGTCGAAATGACAGAGAATACAAGATTACAGGTCAGTATACGCAAAAACACCCCCTTTCTGCTAACAGATTTTCATCAGCTTTAAAAACCAATCAAACTATTATATAACGCCCCCAGAGTAGAACGGAATACATAACTAATTTTTCAGACATAAGAACTTACTTTGCTTCACAATTAGGTCTACATGAGTGACAAATTCGGCTTGCATAGTTTGCCTTGTGCATTGCATCCACAACTACTAAATCATACCCGTCAGCATCACCCTGCCACAAAAAGATAATAAATAAGGTCCAACCATTATGAGGCAAGAAGAAAGAAGCAGCAAAAAAATCAAACAACAAATCTGAATTAGGAAACTTGATCAAATTTAAAATACCTTTGGCCTCTCAAGATATATGTTGTAGAACTCCGGTGCTGGATCTTCATTGTTTTTTTGCAATGAACGAATGCCATCTTGCTTTTCAAACCATTTCCAAGCAGGATAAACCTGTGATTATCAGAAAGAATAACTGACCATAAATTTTGAAAAAAAAAAAAAAAAAGGGGGTTTTCCTGGAATATGAATCAGAGTAGATTTACACGTAGATAAACACGACACTGAATGAAAAGGAAACAATTAACATAAATAATCAATGAGGATGCAAAATAACTATCAGGACATAACAGTTCAATTCACACAATTCAAGGGAAGAACGTGCAGAAGCACATTAACATCATTCCATAAATCATCAAGGAGATGAAAACTATCCAGAACTTAATCCCTAGACACGACATTGTACTTTACCTCTCCCAGAAACTCAACAACAAAATCATCCTCACTGAAGCCACCTTCTTTGTTGCAAACAACACCAAGCCCCTTTTAGAAAATAGAAGGTCAAGAAAATAAAATTAGATATACTCAAAGCAACCAAATGAGCATCTAAAACAAGATATTGTGCAGGGTGAGGAAAAGACATATTGAACAATACAACTAAATAATAATGTAATAAACCTTTCTATAAGCAACGTAATTGTCCTCCGGACGACTATCAATGGCCTTCAAAATGAACTGGCATAGTCTCACAGTTCTCCTGTCATTTTCTTCCTCTCCAGTTTCTAGTATCTCTTGAAATACAGGTTTCAAAGGATAAATCATAGGAGTGTTGCCAGTGCCAGTGAAGTGTCTGGCCTGCTTGTTGAGTGTACATAGGAGAACATCTTCGATAAACACATGCTTATCAGTAAGAGACCAGTCCGATTCTTCCGGCATGGAATCCAGAAGAAGATTATGAGTGTATGGATCTATCCCATACACTTCTTGTTCTATCACCTCATCTCCCAGGAATTTTCTTGGTTTATAATCCTTCACTTCAGGAATTTCCATATCCGACTCCTCAGTGCCATTTCTTTGTGCATTAAGCTTCTCAGCATAATCGTCAGGTAGAGAAGCCTGCATCTTTCTTTTCACTTCATCCTCATCCGCAACAATTACATAGTGATCAATGACTTCATACTTTCGGGTAACAGGTGGAACAAGGCTAGACTTTGTCATGCGAGCACCCCATTCACGTTCATCAGCCCAGGAATCAAACCCATCATCAGGAGTAAAGTATGTATGCCCTCTGGACTCTCCCGTCCCACCTTCTGACTGCAACTCCAAGTCACTTTCAGTATCTGATGCGGAGGTCTCACTGTCAGTCATGCTTTCACCAGAAGATTTGTCAAGATCACTAGATGTGTCACTCCCCGAGTCAATAGATTTCTTGTTTAATTTGGATAAACGCCTTCTAATTTCTCGATCAGATGCGTAGTCTCCATAATCAGAAGCATCATTAATGAATGAGGAACTATTATTCCTATGCAAGTACTTCCTTTCAGACACCCTACTCAGATTCTTCTTATACTTTGACGAGGTGGAGGAAAAACCTGGAGGTGAGCCATCTTTCCAAGACTTCATTATCGCATCTCTTTCATGAGACAACTTCGAACCTTTTTCCAAGTTCATAGCTAGACGGATAAATAATGTAATGATTCGGTTCATATCTCTGGAATCACCACGATTTTTCACTCTGAAATCATGAAAAAATCATTAAAATTAAAAGAAAACATCAAGAACTAGTTATAGATATGCATTGAGTGACAAAATTATGGCACATACAGTATTACAAATTAATTGTACGCACATATGTGACCCCTTCAACCCACTCCCAGTAACCCAAATTTTAAAGAACGGAGACAAAACAGGAAAGTAAAGCGAAGTAAAACTATATTGAGCACCTCTGGGGCACCAGAATTCAGACTAAAATGGAGGCTTATACAATTCAAAGCATCAAACACTGTGAAACTAGCATTAACATAGAAAACTTACTTAATCGCATCCCGGCACATCCGGCTGATATCTTCTTTGACATAATTCAAGCCACGACTAGCATAATAACCATTTTTCATTCTATTCTCAATCTCAGCAACCTGATCATATTGGTTTTAGAAGCACGTTCACAGGAATATCCTAGATGAACAAATAGATAATATAAAAACAAACAAAATAAAAAGTAATACCTTAGGCTCAAAGAATTCAAAAGTGTTCTCCTTCATGATGTCCCTTAGGCTTAAAACAATAAATTTCTCCATCCTCTTGAACCCATTTTCAAATTTTTTCATGGCTAAGCGTCTCAATTGAGCATCCCTCGAGAGGATAGATGATGACTTTCTAGCATCAAATAGCTTTGAACGCTTATACAAGCTTCGACGAAAAAACTGATTTGCAGAGTTTCTTTTATCCAAACTTTCTAAATATTCTTTCAATCCACTGGAATCTTCCATTTTACTATCCAGCCCACTATATGGTTTAGAAGCTGATGAACTTTTATCGGTTATGTGAGTTAGACTCCTAGTTTTTACATTAGTCCGGCTCCTGACCCAATTAATATTTGGAAATTTACAAACCAAATCTTCTAACTGAGAACACCCTCTAATATCTATAGATGACAAATAAGGAAATGACAGAAGAACTTCTTCAAGCGTGCCAGAAGTAATGCCAGTACAACCACGTAGGAACAAGGAAGTTATTTTTTCTTTGTTGTAATCATTCTGCAAATAATGGGAAACATTAATCTCACATTAAATAAAAAAGAATTAAATATCTTGAATCCCAATCTCCATTAACATAATAAAGGAAAAAATGAAATGAAAGAAAAATCTCAAAAGACATGCCACATGCCCATAAAAATATATACAAGTAAAACTAACCATTATTTTCAAGATCATGGAGTCAGTGCAATCTGGGGCGATGGCAAGAAAATCAACCTGTCGAGAAATATTTTTATAAAACTTAACCACAGATTGCCAGTGCTTGCAAGTCAAAGCGGCATTAAACAACGACTTAAGATCAGCACTAAGGAAATGAAATATTCTTGCAAGCACATGACCATCCAGTAGATCCCAGCCTCCCCTCTTAATTTCCAAATCTGTTTCATCTCCTTTGCAGAAAGTCACATTGCCACATAAATCATCAAACATGCATTTGTCATTTGAAAAAAATGATGCATCTTCTTCCATCTCATCCTCTTCTTCACTTCCTTCAACCCTAGATCTTTTGCTCGGACGAAAATTATCTGCAAACATGATGGAGAAAAATTATATAATATAATAAAAATAAATACATTACAAAATGTGTGAAAGGACCCAAAATGAAAAACTGTAAGACCCAAAAAGGTAGAACTTGCACAAGTCTAAGTACAATGTTGATGACAAACAGATGACAAAGAAAATACAAAAGGTAATTTTTTGTTATATCAATACCTGATAGGTAAGTATGTTTGTCCATCTCTTTCTTCAACTGTCTGGCATTGATCCATGGATCTAGGAATTCATTTATAGCTGCAGCAAACTCCCGACTCTTGTATGATTTCATGACCAATTCATGAAGCTTTCCTCGAGTATACCCAATGAACTGTGGATGCAAGTCATGGAATTTAGTGGAAACTGAGAGGCTTCCATTTGATATAGCCTGTAATTCTGACAGAGAAGCTCCAGAAGTATCAGTAGATGCTACAGTATTATCTTTTTCAAACCTTCTAGCAGGCTCAGGGACTTCTCCAGTAGAGGTAATTGGGACCCAAATTTTATCATGCTTTCTAAAAACACTGCTATGATTCTCTATTACACTTTGATCTGCCAGTACTTGCAGCTCTGAAAATGATAAAGGTCCTTTTTCATGCCCAGCACCATCTAGGTAGTACCAATCACCCATATGTAACTGTAACTCATCTGCTCTGCAGAGGCGGTTGTTTGGTAAACTAAAGGATGCACTGCTCTTCCAAGAACCCTGTGAGTCTTGCTCATTCAGGCTCTTTGAGTGACCATCTTCTGATGACCTCTTTGTTTCAACAATTACAGAATATGGCCGTGAGGACCTTGATGAGTGTTT